TATAGTAATTGGTCTCCACCAGCTCAATCTAATGATTCCGCGAACGGTTATGTTTTGGAACGTAGTAATAGTGCAAAGAAAACATTAGAAAGGGCATGCGAACTTTGTCCCGATGAAGAACAGGAAGTGGAAGACACAAGCGAGGATTGTACGGAAGAGACAGAAAAATATCAACCACAAAACAGAGATATATTGCGATCGAGACGTAGTTTAGTCTGGGGATGTATAGGGTAAGATTTTGATGAAGAAGTTTTTTTTCATCATTATTATTTTTATTACTTTTTTATTATCATTTTTATCACAATTTTATTTATCATTATAATAAATATAATTTTTATTTAAATATAAATTTTAATTTTATTTAATTGTTCTTTTCTTTTTTTTCCAGTTATCCTGATGTTACTGTAATACAACAAATGCAAGAGGAACAACAATCTCAACCTAGACCATCTCCAGTTCATACTCCTCTTTGGTCCCAATCTCCAGTTATACTCACACCACCAGCTCATCAGTTACATAGTCCACAGAACTGTGAGTCATCACAAAATACCAGCCAGGATCCATAATGAACGCTACATATTGACGTTCTACCAAGTTGCTGCCTCGGTGAAACCATTTCAAGATATTTAGAAATTACTGCGCCAGCAGCTTGGTGCCGAACGATAGAGGCACCTGTACAAATATAACTCGCAGATTTGTTCTCTTTTGCTGGTATTCAAGAACTTGCATTTGTAACTTGACAGTTTTACTGTGGGCAGTTACTTCGAATGATACGATGTGGCATAGCTATCTGCACTAATGAGAAAAAAAAAGAACGATATTAGAAACAGCGATTATTAAATAAGAACAGAATTTTTACGTATTGATTGAGGCAACGAACTCTCATCGTGATTTTTTCTTATCCCTAATGTTTATGTATTCTTTGTTTATTGCACTTATATTATTTGAATTTTAGAATATCGGGAAAAAAAGAACATTTTCTTTGAAAGAAATCTTCGTAAAAGAGATTGACAAGAAAAAAGAAAAGAAAAAAAACGATTGAGCTAAAAATTATATTTGCCTCGATTAATGCATTTGAATTCAAGTGTAGGAATACGATAAGATTGTATAAATGTATAGCGAATAGTGTTATGGAATCCCGTCTCTGCCGGAATAGAAAACAAAGGTATAAAAAAAAAAGAACATAACTTCCGTATGTCTATGTAAATTTGTTACTAATAAAAAGTTAAAAAATGAAACTTTCTAACGACCGAAGAATAAGGCTAAAAAATACAGTAGTTTCTGACTTAATTGAAAAGAGCAGAGTTATAAATCAAGAAAAAAATTTCACATCTACCAATATTTCACTATTTTAGTCTTTCAAATGAAATGAAAATTTCCTTGTACTTAATCTCGAATATCAAAGACAAAAAAAGGAGATAAAAAAGAAAAAAAAAAAGGAAAAATAAAGAAAGGAAAGTCACTTCGATGCAGCTATTTTAGCTGTATAAGAATTTAAACATACACCAATGATGCCTCCCATTGTGCTTTCTTTCAGTTCATCTAATTTGAGAAAAGAGTTGTGCCTTCGATATCGTGCGACTCCATTTGTATTTAGATAGTTGTTTAAGAATCGAATTGTTATTTCAAATTTGATTATATGTATTTTGTTTGTTATGTTTTTGGGCTATTTATAAGAAATGATAAGAAGAAATTTGATCGAGCGAAATTCAAGTAGATGGTGCAGTTGATTGTTTAAAAATTATACAAGTAAGAAATGACAAATATGACGGAATATTTCTAATTTAAATAATAATAATGATAAATACACATATAAAAAATGCGGCAAAATAAAAGGAGATCAGTTTGTGTTTAACATAAGGAGTCGCAGTGCCGCAAAAAAGAAAAATAAGCCTTGTCCGAAATCCAAAAATTTCTACAAAACGAAAAACGAATGAAAAACGGAATTGAAGAAAGCGTGACGGTAGCGACACAAAAGGGTATGAAATAAATATAAGAAAAATAACACTAATTTGTATCGTTCTAAGGTACGATCCATCGTTGAAAAAAAGAGCTATGGTCTTTTCGCAGTATTGTAAAAGCAATTCTTAGTTTTCAATTAATAAAAGAAGATGATAGATTAGATGGTACTTATACACTGTTCGGTACTTTATCAGGCATTTGTATAAAAACAATGAAATAATAAAACATGGGAATAACAATAACTGCGATTCTTTAACATATGAATTGGCCATAGCTCTAGACTTATTAAATAATATGTGTTATATAGATATTATATAAATATTACTAAAGAAGAAGGAAGAGGAAAAATAAAGTCACGTGTAATGAGGATATAAAGAAACCGTGTGTATACATAGGAATTCGTGCGATGAGAAAATCAACGATTATGTCAAGACACCAGGAAATAACGATATATTGATTACTGTTCGTATTTATCAAATATTCACGTTAAACAGTGTACCAAATTATATAATAGCTACTATCGGTTAAAATAATAATGGTACCTAATCTTACTCAGATATGTACATATGCAACTGCTTTTTATATGTGATAAAAATTATTATATTCCTATTATACATTGAGGTTAGTACGCTATTGTAAATCCTGGTTTTTTGTACACAGACTGTATGCTAAGTTCAATTTTTTGTTAACGGAGAGAATGTAGTTTATAATTATTTAATATTTAATTGTATCGCTAAAAGAATAAGCGTAACACGTCTTGTATGATATAACATAACTTGATTACTTTCAAACAATCAATATCAGATTTAAGTGGTCGAACTTCGAAGTTTGTGTCATGATATATTAGTACTACTTAGTGTCATTTCTTTTTCTTTCTTTCTTTCATATTTTGTTCTCTTTTTTTTTTTTCTTTCGAACGAGCAATGATAGAGATAAAAAAGTGGATATGAGATATAATGCAACCGGGCAAATGATTCTAATTCACGGTTTAACTAATCACGAATTTTGTGCAAAATATATCTACGAGAGTCGATCAAGATTGACCATCTTTAATACGGTAATTGCGAACAATCACGCTCGTTTTTTATAGTCAACGAAAGATAGTCGGATGCAAAATTACATTTTTGCATGAAACTTAATTATACAGAGAACAACAACGATGAAAAATGATGCAAAAAAAAGAAAAAAAAAAAAGAAAAAAAAAATAAGAATGCAAAACAGAAAAGGAAACAATATTTCAAGTCTCGATACGACATTAATCAAAATCAAAGGCAAATGCACATGAAGCAATGAAAAAAGATTAAAAAAAAATAAAAAAAAAAAATAATAAAAAAAAAAACTAAAAGTTGTACAGTTATATACTTAAGCAAAAACGATAACGAAAAAAAAAAAAAACGAAAAAAGAAAAAAAAACAATTATAATAATTCGACTGTACGCGAAGTTAATTTTCGTAAAACTTAAGGCAAAAAGACAAAAAATAATAATAATAATAATAATAATAAGGAAGGAGAAAAGAGTCCCTCGTTGATGTCCGTTTAGTTTTAGTTGTAAAGGTAATTTTATGTATTAACTCGATCGACGCTCTAGTCAGTAAAATTAAATAAACGGAAAGAGATTAACGAACCTCGTTCATTTAGTAGCATAGCGTATCTCTCGAAGTTTCATTTTTTTTTTTTTCAATATAATTGTTCAAACAAATCTTTCAACTTTTTTTTTTTATGTTTTAAATATAACAATATAAAATTAGATTTTCAAACACGTATATACATCTCCGTTTTAGCATGTCTCTTTCATGATAGCAGAAACAACTTCCACCGTTCACATGGTGCTTGTATTTCTCATTTGCCTTTGAAAACCTCCACTAAGACTATTTCGAGTATAAAAAAAAAAGAAAAATAAAACAAAACGAATGAAATCGAATAAAAAAAAAAAGGAAATAAAAAAAAAGAAAAAAAAGAAGAGAAAAAAATACGAAATGATTTAACAATGAAACTACCTCGTTAAGCGGTCAATGTATTTACAATTTATACGCGTATTTGATTTCATTGCCAAACCCTTTGCGTTCCATTTATAAAATACATCTTTTTTTGTTTCAAGCATTTCTTTTATTCGACGAAAAATTACATCTTTCATTAACCCTTTTGATGCTGATTTTTATGGTATATTGCATGATCGTAAGTTTTTCACTTCAAATAAATCACGGATGAATTTGATACTTCTCGAGGAAGCATACAAAAAAATTATGATACGGCATTGTGAGGGTTAATTTATTCCAAACTGCCTTTTTACACGCGAATAATAAATATTGGATTGCAAAGGGTTAACGCGAACAAGAACCCGTTTTTCGTCTTTAAGCGTCAATCGCGTTATTCAACGTAACAAAAATTTATAAGTTAATATTTTTCTCTTTTGTCACTGAATTCTATATTGAAATCGGAATGTTCATTGATATTTTAAGAAGGCTCGACATATAGGACGATCCACTTTTATTTATAAACTAACCTATTTAAAAAAACAAAATATAAATATATCTCTTTTTTTCTTTTCTAATTTTGATTTTTATATAAGTAAGGAATGAAGTGCCATGTAAAGAGCAAAACGAATAATTATTGGATATCAGATATCCAATGATATCTTCGATATTTTAACACAATCTATACACTTTATTTACTAATATTATATATTCATAGTAATTTTTTTCAATTATGTACATATATATATATATATAAATTAAGATGGATCGTCCTCTGTCTATTTTACAGATTATAAAGCGAATAAAGATATCTAAATTATTACCCTGTTACGGTTCTCAGTTTTACGTGTCTAAAGAAATGACTTAAATAAACGAAGAGATTGCAAAAAGAAAATTTGCGAAACTATTTTTACTTTGTGAGAGATTCTTTTATTTTCTTTATTGTTCGAAATATGAAGAAATATGAAGAAGAAAATATAATGTGAGAAGAAGAAAAGAGAGATCGTAGCAGGGCCGATGAAAGTACGAAGAGAGAAGAAAAAAAAAAAATAAAAAAATAAAAGCAGAAGTGCTCGTCGAGGAGCGAACGGCTTCTTTCGTGTGACTTCTTGCTTAACGTGTGCGCGAATAAAATCGTTCGATACTGGCATCCGAATGACGAAACGGTCGAGAATCGTATGGAAATTTAGTCGGTAGATAAGGAAAGATATTATATAAAAGCTCGAAATCGTGGTTCGATTCGACGTTGGACATTGGAAAATGTTTTTTCCTCCCACCTTCGTCACTCGCATGATAAATGTCTGCCTATATATTGAAGATAATAAAGCGTGAAAAAACGGTGCGTGAAATTTTGGTAGACGTGTCTGACAATGAGAGCGTTGATAATCGAGCCAACTGGTTTCAAGCTGATTTCGTTCGAAACCAAATATGAAAGTGTGTATATATTGCTTTGTCCGTCAAATACACGCTTTTCTTAATTTTTTCTTTTTCTTTTCTTTTTTTTTTTTTTTTTTTTTTCTCTATAATTTTTGTTAAATTTGACCAGATGGCGTCATCGAATTGCGCCAACGTAAAAATATCGTTTACTTCTTTTTTTTTTTTTTATTCACAATAATTTTCGCAATGAGATTCGTGCAATTGTTTACGAAATTATTGCGATATTTAATATGGTAATTATAATTATATTTAACGCATTAACTATAAAGATCGATGTGTATTCGAATTAGTAAGTAAAAGATCGTAAGATCTTGATCTTGAAAGTTCGAGGATCGTTCGGTTCGGCTAACAGCGCCGTAGAATAATTCTAATCCTTAGGATTACGAAAATTACGAAGTATTACACGATACTATATAGATATATCGAGTAGAATATTTAATTTTCGCTGTCCTATATTAGGACTAAGCTATTGAATCTTTCGATCGAGCCCCAATCCCATCGCAATTACGATTATCACAATGAAATAGGGGAAAAAAGGGAAGAAGGAAAGGAAAAGATCTCGTTAGAATGGTCGACGTTAAAATTTCGCTGGTCGTATATTGTCATCACCGCACGAAATTCATTGTGTCTCGTATACAGGATACATCCGATTGCCGGAAGACATCTATTAAATGCCGAAAAACTCCGTAAATGAGCTAATTGATTGATATCGAACAGTGAACAGTGCACTGCGTTCCTTGTAACTCAACCCGTGAATAAAGGATAACTCAAAGATATTCGCAGGACGAATATGATACATTGCTCGCATTCCTCCGAAGCTGTTTTCGTTATCTGTTTTCTGTATTTATTTCAAAGAGCTGCGTTATGCACTCACTTAAACTAGTAGAATTTACTATACGAGATATAGAGTGTTGAAAAAAAGAGGAGACAATGAGAAGAAAAACTTTGGTCATATTTGTCCATGAATCAATTTATTACTGAGGGAAGAAAGTAATAAATAATTATTACTTATTCTATATATCAATTGTCTCGTGGACATCGAATAAGTTTTATCCCAAAGGAATAAGATTTTTTTTTTTAGAGATTTAATTTTTAGAGATTTATGATATCGTAGTCGCAATATCCTTTGTTTTTTTTTTTTTATTCCTTTTCCTTCATTTGCTAAATGATAAGACCGGGGATGTCCTATCGCTTGCATTTGCCTACTGCTTTCATAAAATCGCGCCCTTTTCCCTAATTGAAGCACGAAAATGTAAACAACGATCGATATCGTTTCTTTCGTTGGCGTGCTCTTAATTATCGCTTTCATATCGAATCGAGATAAATCCACCATATGGTGTGTGTGTGTATGTGTGCCCTTCAACCTATGGTGCTTCAACAGATTGTGCCTCGCCAACCTTGAGTCTTTTTCGTTTTCATCCGTTCTAAGCGTGAAACGATCACGGATTCTTGTTGGATAATCATTCCCTCGATTACCAAGTATTCTGGGGCCGAAACCTGCAGACTTTTCAACTTTTCCTCTCGTAGAGGATCATCGGTAATTAATTCTATCCTTCTCAATTTTTGCCCGTCTTCAAATTTTTTAACGAAGATCGAATTCCTCGTATGTAAGATTGTTGGATCTTTTCAAAGAAAAGATTGAATACGATTTTAATATCTCGATAAGGGATCATTGTGGTCGGAGATTGAACTATGATGATCGCAATTTGACGAATTTCTCTCGGGTGTTTTCCCATTCATATATTCACCGATGGGATAATATGGGAGAAAAAAGTTCCTGAGATAATTTCGTGAAATGTCCGAGCAGCAAAGGGCAAGAAATTTAAGAAATTTATTCGTCTCGATGTTTATCGGAGGGGGGAAAAAAATTGCTAATGGAACGAGAATACCGTACAAGATTTATTAACCAAATAATCGACAAATGATTTTTTTTCTAGGCGTGCACGTCTCGAAAAAAAACTGGAAAAACTGTATAACACTCGCTTCGTAACCGAGCACCAAATACCGACGTTCAAACGAAAGTAATACCAAAAAGAGGTAAAAAGAAACAAAAAAAAAAAACAAAAAAAAACAAAAAAAAATGGAATGATGTTCTTAATTTATTATGTATAAGTGATCCTCGGTGATCGATCGACAAATTTAAATAAAAAGAACAAAAAAGAAAAAAAAGATATAGTGAGAAGCGTAAAAGAAACATAACTGAGAAAGAACACGCTTTAAAAAGTAGCTAGAAACTGAAGATAAGCGCTCACGTCGTTTTCTGTCATTATTCGTTTTTCAAATAGGCGCATTTACGTAAGCATTTTACTTACTCGAACGTTATTCACAAATCGAGCCAACTGAGTCTGCAATCCTAAGAGAATAAAAATAAAAAAAAAAAAAAAAATGAGGGAGGAAAATCGGTGTCCTTCCATATATATATGTATATATATTTATATATTATGTATATATACATATATATATACATATTATTATTATTATTATTATTATTATTATTATGATTCTTCGCAGAAACTTTCATTAATATAAATATTAATTAAGATTGTATATTCTCAATTTAATCGGATAGTTTTCATCAAGGATTGCAGACGACGGTTCGCTGTATGATCCACGGGGATTTTATCGATCGAACGACAAATTCATCTCGTGCGTAATCGGCGTGAAAAACTTCGCCGCTCCTGAAAATCTTTTGTGTATTATTTCTAACAGAATGTAATAAAGTACGGTTTAAAAAGAAGGATAATAAATAATGTATTTTCCTCTCCCATTCCTTTTATTTCGTGTTGCGATTAAGAAAGATCTAAAATTTTTGCAAGGGTTTCGATTTCGATTACAATTTTTTTTTTCGCTTTAAAAACCATATGATTATTTTTATCTATGATACTTGTTGAAGACATTGAAATGCAAGTGTTTAGCAAGCGTTGCACAAGTGTGTTATCAAATTTCAACATTTTTTCTCCCCATTGTCCTTGAAATTTTCTTCATTCCATATTTACAAGTTTCAAGTTATGTAATTTTGATATACATGAACAATTCGATAAGCATACAATATTATTACGCATATCGATCGGATCAAATATGAATCATTGATACAAATCAATAATAAAAATAAATAAATATACGTATATATATATATAAAATATATAATATATCGATAAGTTAATATCAAATATAATAATTTAGTGGCTCATTCATTTGCATATAAAGATCTCATTTAATCACTAAACGATACAATCTAAACGCGTAAATGAATTACTGAACTTATTGAAAAAATATAAAATGATATGGCATGCAAATCAAATATTCGATTATATGAATAATCAGTTGATATTGACATTGACGTCGTTATCGTTAATCTTGCGTTATATAAGTTTCATAATTTCATAAACAAAGAAAACAAATTATTTTCGTTATCAAATATTAAATATTTCGTATTCAAATATTTTACGAAATTGTGTAAGAAATTTTAATCTTAAAATTCTCTTTATATATATTAATAATATATATTTTTCTCGTACAATGAAGTTTATTCTTTGCATAAATATCTATAGATCATAAGTTCATTCTACAATTATAAAACAAAGTTATGTTTTTAGCGCGGAATCTATTATGTTTCATGAATATCATTGTTTATTAATAATATTACTATGGTTTATATCAGTCGATTTCAGAACACAGAAAACGATTCATCATCCGGAAAAAACACAAACGTCTTTCATTAAAATTGCAAAGATAAATATGAATACGACGAAGTTAGATAAAGCAAATAGTTTTATCAGAAACATTAGTGAACACGCTGCCTTCAGGGGTTATCTTCATGATTTCTCGTCGGTTTCGGTCATTAGTTGTAAGACCAAATGAATGTGACCATCGAAGCCATTTAATCGTATGTTTTCGTCAGTGGAAAATCAATTGATTCGCGGAGCGATTCAAATGTAAAGAGTGATCGATCTTTTGTATATAAAATATTCGAAATTCTTTCGATTCGAATAGTTTATTCATTTTGTTTTTTTTTTTGCGTATTCGCGCGAGTTTTTTAATTCATTGGAAATCTCTATTTATTACATCAAAACGATAAAATTACGGAAATAAATTGAATTGTTAAATATCGAATTACTGATCGTATAAAATTAATTTCGTGTTCCTTTTTGTTTATAGACACTATGTCTCAACAAATGATTTGTATCGAAGACTTTCAAAAATATGCTGATCAGCATTTAACACCTTCTGTGAGAGATTACTACAATTCTGGAGCAGGAGAACAGTTCAGTTTGAAGCTAAATACTGAAGCTTTTAAAAAGTATGTAAAAAAAAAAGAAAAAAAGAAAAAGAAATCATAATAGTAATAAAAATTTAAATCACTTGTGAAATCGAATTTTAAGAGTAAATTCGAATCAAAATCAAATTTTATGATCTTAAAATACTATTTTTTTCCTTTTTTTTTTAAGAAGTTTTTAATTATTTTATCGAGAATTTGAAATTCGAAACATTTTTAAAAATGTTTCATCATTTGAAAATTATTTTTTAAGAATAATTAAAAAATAATTTCTTGTTCATTTTTAATTTTTTGTCTATTTATTAATTTAATAATATTATTAATGAATTTATTTATTACAATTTATCTTCATATTGACATTACCTATTTATCAATTTTTCTGGTTTTAATTACTAATTAAAATTTTATAATATTTTACAGATACAGGATAAGACCAAGATTTTTAAGAAATGTTTCCAGAAGAGATTTAAGCACTACAATTTTAGGTGAAAAAATCTCAATGCCATTGGGAATAGCACCAGCAGCTATGCAACGTATGGCACATCCTGAAGGCGAATGTGCAAATGCTAGAGGTAAACATATTTAATCTTTAATATTAATATTAATCATAATCTCGTAACTACAATGTTTTCTTGTTTACTTTTTTTCTAATATTCAATTATGCGAATTTATATATTTAATTTTTAAATATGATACATATTCATTATATCACGAATATAGATTTAATAAAAAATTTTATTGATTATGCAAATATTTTACAAAAATAGTTGCAATCACAAACACGTGCTTGATTTGATTAATCGACGATGATTACAATGGAATATTTTATGTTTATAAAATATTACTTGTAGAGCATTTTGAACTTGAATAAACAAATACATAGTTTTTTTATAAAATAGATAATTTTTTCCTTTTAATTTATTCAAAACTGTACAGAAATTAAATTGTTATCTTTCTTCATTATGTAAATACAAATGTACATAAAAAATCGCATTAGTCTGTATAAAAAGTTAAATGGTTGATAATTCATACGTTATGTAGTAAGATGATATGTTATAAAC